CTGCGAGCCGCGAATCACGACGCACTGCGAACCGCCCGCGTATCTTTATTACCCACCTTTGCGCCTTATTTAGTTTATTTTACACTGTATCATAATTCCTTTTTTTCTCTTTCTTTCTCCCTTTTACGTTTCGTGTGTGTGTGTCCGATCGGTGGAGTGTGGACTTACCTTGGCGCCGCGCCCAGATAGAGAACGACGCCTACCCGGACACCAGCGTACAAAGGTAGGATCTTTGCCTTCTTGTAAGATCCATAAGCGAGTGTGTGTGAGCGTGTGTGCGTGTGGGTGGTTCCTGGCGATAGGACCACCAGCCCCGGCGACGAGGACCTTAGGGACCGTATTTGCGGAATATCGCTGTACAGATTTGCGCTTTCTGTTCCCGCGATTCTGGGCCGCTGATCCCAGTTCGGGCTACCTTTTTTTTCTTTTTGCATTGTATTTTACATTTAGGTCCAGCGTTCCCTTTGCTGTCCACGACCCCCAAGAGGGCGTGCTCCCACAGCGTACCGCGTTTTCTTTTCATTTCCGATTTTTATTTTGTATCACTCGCGTGTACCGTGAGCCCTCGTGTCGCGATATCTTTACCGCACTTAGCGATCGTGACCCAGTTCCCTTTCCGAACTTTGTACCACGAAGGGCTCATTTTCGTTCTTCTCGAAGGGCTAGCTTCGGCCCACAATAAAGCCAAATTTATCGTAGATACTCGCAGTTACTCTACTTATTTTCTGTCCCTCCTTGAGTACCGCTCCCGGAAGAGCTGCCGGAAGGGCGATTCCCCCGGACGCGTGCATTGCACTGGCGCCCCTTTAAAGAAATCGTCCGTGGGTGTGCGTATCGGTACGTGGAGGACAGCTTTCCCTGGCCGCCCTCCACCTCAGGGACTTTTCCTTTCGTCCCCCCCGCCGATCCGTCACAATACATTGGTTCCTATCTAAGTATTTGCCTGTCAAATGTATAACCAATGAAAGGAGTAAACGTAATAGAATAAAAATAAGAATAAAGAAAAAGATCTAGAGCACAAACTAAGCAACAATCCTGTCGGAGAGTAAAATCGAAACCGCCGGAAAAACAACATCGAAACGCTCGGAGGAAAGGAACGCGATGTCCTTGCCTCAGTAACAGAAAAAGACAGTCGCTACGGGTCTACGGTCGCGATCGGTCGAGCAATCTCGCCGTGTACCGGGTGATAAAAGTTTCTATATTTTTTCTCGCGACGACGATGATCCGCGGTTCGCGTTACTACTACTCGCGGGGCCCTGCCGGCAACAAACACACAATAGACATCGTTTACGACGACGTCTGGACGTCTCCTCGAGCTGAAGACTCCAACGGAACCTGGTTCCCGTACGATCGCGATTCAAAATCGCTAAAGGGAACTGTTTCCCAAAAAACCCGGTGTCACGCGATGAACTGATCGCTGACGGGCGCCCAACCTTTGTGTACACATTATATCATCAAACGCGACACACTCACACATGCCTCAATCATACGACTTTAAGTATGTATTCTCAAATTCAAGGGTTTTTTATGCCTTCGGGCTTTTTCCCTTGCTCGATAACTCGAATAAACAATCAGTTCAACTCATCATAATCCAGAGTTTTCATTTAACCAACCGCATCCTTACTCTATCGTCCAGTCCTTTGAAATTTAATAACGTAGTGATTCCTTCACTAATCGAATAAAATTGGAATTCTTCGTGTTGAAGAGTTTCGACCGTACAAATCCTATGCTACCTATGCTAATCCTATGCTAATTTTCTATGCTACCCCACCAAATATCTATTATCATAAAATCCTCGGTGAGGTTATAAACACCTTTAGATGTACTTGTCATCATTACCTTGTGTTATATTACGTTATGTTATAATATATTATAATATTGTCAAATAGGTCCCAACTCTTAGAACTTCTATACAAAAGGAAAATATCTTTTTACTGTTGGGTAATAGTGCCGAGTGTGAAAAAATCTAATATAATAGTGACCAGTAGTTACGTTTAGTAGTTTTTCTCCTCTTAATCTTATGAAAAGAGTAGTTGAAAGCCCCGTGACCAGTAGGAGAGGTAGTGTTATCGCTAATGCTACGTGCTATTATTAATGGTAATGTTAATATTATTTAAGTTATTAAAGTTGCTCCCTAGGAGTATCATATCATTTCATTATTTCACCGCATTGCCTCAAATTTGTGCAAGTAAGAGAGAAGTAACATATGATACAGCAAAATATGAGATTTCTGTAACTATGGATATAAATAAAACTGCTTATAAAGATTTCATTCTTTCCTTCATTCCTAATCCGTTGCCTATGGAGGACACGGAACAGCCATCCTGTGTATTTTATTCAACGCCTCCAGTCGGTATGTTACCGTCAATGGGTAACCCCGGCCGATTGTCGGTATAGTAGGTAATTGTAGGTCTTCGATATATTAGTTTGCTAATTTATCATTAACAGTTATATTTCCCTTATATCGATAACTCGAGTATGTATCTTGCTTGTCCCCAGTCAGCGCCGTCCGTCGGTATGTTACCCTCAGTCGGTAAATCCATCCGACTATTGGTATAGCATATGATTGTGTATCTTCAATATGTTAATTTACTATCTTATCAACTAATATTCCTTACTATCTTATCGACTAATTTTCCTTGTTTCCTTTCCTTTCATTAATTAAGTATCTAAATATCATTATCAATTACGAGATCAAACCCATAAGATAAAATAAAATTATAGAATAAAGTAATTGGACTTGGGCTATAATTAGCGAACCGGTGAGATCTGACGGGGGTGTCCCACTTGGACGCCGACCGATTGGACGCGTGCCGATTGGACGGTCCCGTTTCGACGCGTTCCAATTCGAAGCGGTGCCGATTGGACGCGTCCCAATTCGAAGCTGCTAAATTTGGTTAGGTTATGTTCTATAAGCTCTGCTTAGAATTGGAACGCGTCCAATCGGCACCGCTTCGAATTGGA